AGCATGGAAAACTCACCACTCTTATGACAATATGGTAACAATGATGCGTTTACGTACCGAAACATGGTGTTGTTTGATGCTACGTGAATAGATACTCAGTAGTACGGACAGAATTCGGTCTGTACTTAAAAAACTATCGAATTCGGTACCCATCCCTATACAGCACTAATATCTACGTCATGAAACTATATTTAATCTATGTCTCCCTTCTCTGATCTGTCTGGAATTTCTCCCACTGACTTGGTTTTCTCCGGCAGAATTTCAACCGGGCCAATCAGTGAACAGGAGGAGGAGTTGTGAATGATGATGTGGATTTTCTGCTGTTTTAGTCTGCCTGTAGTTTACAGTAGCAATGACAGAGGAGGAAGTGAATGAAGACTGAAGTCCATGTTGACAGGCACAAAGCCTGCAGCACTCATTTACAGACATCTCATTTGGCTCAGAACTTCTCTCTTTGTTAACAATTGGGTAGAATCAGATCCAATCGTTTTAAACTTCAACAGAGGCCACACCTCCAGAAAGACATCGCTTCTCAATAGCTGAGAGTCCAGACCCTCTGTATGAAGCGATGCGTAAAACAAAGGGCTGGTTTTTACCAGGTTAGAGGTTTATTGAATTAACAGCAAATGTGCAATAAGCATAAAAAATTGGACAGGTACAAAAACTTTTGGCACCCCATCAGAAAAATCTAATCAATATTTAGTAGATCCTCCTTTTGCAAAAATAACANGATGTGAGGATGACAAAACCAAAGCCTTCGTTGTCTTTGCGCTGCAGGGTGACATTGAAGCTCTCCGGTCGAAAGGTCTGAGCGAGTGGTGCGTCATTCGGGACCTCGACAGGAGGGATCTTGGAAGAGCTGCTGACCAGAGCTGAGGATACCTGCTGCGGCTGCTGGCTGCTGTCCTCCTCCTCCTCATCATCATCTGACACAGACACGCATCATGACAGACATCAGTCAGGCTGAATGGATGACTTTGGTTTTTATCACATTGAAACACTCGAGATAAACATGTGGGGAAGAGTTTATGATTGTGTTGCTGATTTGGCTGACACCAACCTTAAAACATAAGCAATTATGTAAGCCCAGTATTTCTTGAAAAAAAAATCCATTTTGCATGCAAAGTCCTAAAGAAAGATCTCCAAATTCCTATCACTTAGAGCAGAGATTCTTAACCCATGGTCTGCAGCCATATTGTGGGCCGCCAGCACCACCTTGAAGGCCTCAAAAGAACAACAGTTTTTAACTTTGGGCTGCAGGACCGCATGGATTTAGAATAAGGTGCAATACATTTTCTCACCACTAGGAGCAGTAGTGTGCCACTCAGACGTTTAACAACTTTTTTAATACATAGAAGAAGAACCTTGGATACCAGCTGAGAGTGAAAACCTATTTTAAAACAGAAAAAGTAGAAGCAAAAACGAAGTTAACTCGTCAAAAAAAAATCGAAAGTTTGTCACTAATATGAAGTGCAGCTTCTGGTTCTACCANATTTTGATCCATACAATGGTAATGTCTGACTGAGCCTTGTGCCACTTTGTGTTCAACAAATTGGGCCCCGAGGTCAAAAAGGTTCAGAGCCCCTAACTAATGTTTTGTAGAAGACTCCCAGCTACTATCACACAAAATGTTACCTTCATATCAGTAAAATTGATGATGTTATAGCCATTTTTGTGTTAATAGCTAATATTGATTAGCTGTGGGGCATCATGAATTGGATTGACTCCAACAATCAGTTGGCTGCAGTGACCATTTTAAATTTGATTCACTCCAAAACATTGTCAGTCGTAGATGTTTATATAACTTTAGAGAGTTTCATTCAAGTTCATCCTGTGATTCATGACATATTTTGCTAACAGAGCTATGAACACACCAACAAAACATTACATTTATGCTTGATTTCATTTAACCAACTGTTCTGTGTATAAAACACCTAATAAACTGTCATTTTAGTTAATAAAATATTGCATTTGGCTGACAGGCGGACACAAAAGAGTTATTCGAAACTATTACCTCAAATTGTTATTGAATGCTTGTTTTGCAGAATTTCTTTTTTTACAAGACTTCTCCAGGAAGCATCATCTACTCCCTCGCTATAAAAAGCATCAACTCTTCAAGACTGATGCTTCATTTCTGCAGAGTTATTTCAAGTGTGCTCCTACAAAGAGCAGAATAACTACGTGTGAGGCTGAAGCAGCCATGGTGCAGCAGGAGGTACAGTATGAGCTGCTGGAAAGAAAAGCTCAGCGTGCTTCTTTTTTGTCCTCAACTAAACCAGCTGCAACGCTTTTCGCTGCCATTCGCACAACTCCATGCACGCTTAACAAGCAGTGGGTTTTATTTGTCTTTACTGAAAAAAACAAACCTTTTCAAATTGACTTTTTAGAAAAATATTCATTTAGTAAGAGTCAATTTTTGATCAAACCTTGTTTATTCAGATTTGTTCAACCAAGAAGCCACCCAGACTCAAATTTAAAAGATTACAGAGTAAATCCCACATTAAAGCCATTTCCCTCTACCTCTCAGCAAAGATAGAAATGAAGAAGCAAAGCTTTAAAAGGATTCACGATTAGTTGTAAAATTAGACTTTATTTGATAAACATATATTTAAACTAAAATAAAGTCTGTAAAAATACTGTAGGCTGTTTAGATTTGTAAATTTTTTAAAATATATTTTAACATGGACGGAGCCATTTTATTTACACGCAAAGCATTCTGGGTAAATGATGACATCAACTAGGTCATCGGTGTGAGGCTGCTAGTGAGCTATATCCACCCTGAAGGTTAATCTTGGACAATATCTGATGATCGACTCTTTTAAATGAAACCAGAGAGCGTTGACAGAGAGGAGAAGGTAGAAATGACTCAGCCTGGAACTGAAAATATGGATGGAGGACAACAGAGCTGCTTCATGGAAGAAGAACCTCAGCTTAGCCTGTTAGCCTTCGCGCTAGCCCTCACGCTATATTGCCTTATATGTATTAGCTCGGCGCTAGCGCGACAAACAAGCTAAACTGAGGTCCTCCATCCATATTTTCAGTTGCAGGCTGAGTCATTTTTGTGTTCCTCTCTCTGTCATGTGGATGAAGGACCTCAGTGACGAGAGGAGAATGTGTAGCGCTGAGCTAATACATATATATGGTGATAGCGTCGGGGCTAACGCTAAAGCTAACAGGCTAAGCTGAGGTTCTTCTTCCATGAAGCAGCTCTGTTGTCCTCCATCCATATTTTCAGTTCCAGGCTGAGTCATTTCTACCTTCTCCTCTCTGTCAACGCTCTCTGGTTTCATTTAAAAGAGTCGATCGTCAGATATTGTCCAAGATTAACCTTCAGGGTGGATATAGCTCGCTTGCAGCCTTGTGCTGATGACCTAGTTGATGCCATCATTTACCCAGAATGCTTTGCGTGTAAATAAAATGGCCCCGTCCGAGTGATATATTTTTAAACTTTTAGTTTAAAAATTATAAAAACTGAACATCCTACAGTATTTTTACAGTCTTTATTTTACAGTTAAAGTATATGTTTATCACATAAAGTCTAATGTTACAACTAATCGGGGATSCCTTTAAGTGCTCCTCGGAGGAATGCAGAGTTGATTATATCAAAGCAGGCCTACCTGACTGAACCAACTTCCTGCGGACTGTGAGCATGACCTGACCGTTCCGTGCTGCGTTGGTCATCAGCTCCAGCACCTGCTTGTGGGATTTGCCCTTGACAGGAACACCATCTATACAAAGAAGCTCGTCTCCAGCGCGCAAACGTCCGTCCTTCTCTGCTGCACCCAGTGGGACAATTGCGCCAATGTACACCTGTGGGTGTAGGAGGAGGAGGTTAGACTGATCCAAGTCATGGCAAACACAGACTGAGGAGAGTCAGCTGAAATCCCAAACACTCAAACTAGACAACTAATGCAGCCCAAATCCTAGGTGCAATCCTGAAACAAAAACTGAGCTGAAAAAAATGCAAAAGGAATGCTGGAGCTGCTACACAAGGCTCGAGTCGGACCGCTCCTCAGTGCTTTGGAAAGGGGGCAGGGGCTCACCGCACCCCTCACTGCTCGTTGAGTAAAGTGCTGTCGCCAAAGTCTCCAAGAACTTCGGAAAAATTTGCTCGATTTGTCCCTTTTCTGGAATGAAAGTCATTAGACAAAGTGGCAACCCTAGTGCTGATGTAAGAGGAACCTCCACCAGGACTGTTAGCAGGGAGTTCTATAAATAATTTGGTTTGCTAAGTACATGCAGGCTTAATTATTATTTCAATTACTTGGGCATCTAATGTTGAACACTTTCTAACAGGGTAATTAAAAAGAGCTAAAAACTATAAGCAGATGTCAGGTTTAGTGTGTAGGGATGACTGGCCTGCCTCTTATTCACCAGTGGTTTCCATAATTAACTTCACGTTTTTGACCCCACTGTGTGTTTTGGTTTCCCTGCTTTACCCCGTCCCTGTCTGATTGTTGCCAAGCCTTTTGCCTCCTGAAGGCCGACCTAATTTTTGTGCCCCAATCTCTGAGTTTTGCCCACCCTTTGAATAAGTTTCGGCTCTCTGATTTCTGGTTCTCGACCCCTGCCTGTCCCCGACCTAACCCCCTGGATTTTGGATTTATCTTTGGCAATCTGTGGGAACTCCAGCGGATCGATCCCAAACTCTGTGACGTCACCGCTCTGGCAGCTCCGCTCCCCGAAAGAGTTTTGGGAGGTTAGTGGCTCCTTTTTTTTAGATATTATTATTATTATTATTATTATTGTTTTTCCTCTCCTCAGAGAATCCAGTGACATTCCCTTCTCCCACCAGATGCACATTCCTAAATAAACTGTGTAAGCGGGCTCAGAGTTCAGCTGAATTCTCGAATCCTGTCTTGACAGAATATGAAGACTAAAAAAAACTAGTACGCTACAGCAGATTTCAAAAAGAACAACACTTCTGCAGGAATAAAAGAGATCATAATCGATTTATGTGGAAAGTAAAAGGTACATAATCTTAAAAGAAATACAATTGCAAAAATCAAGTCATAATCCCCTGAATGAAACGAATAATATAAATATGAATGGCTAAAGTAACAAAATATGCAGAAGTTAAAAAAAAAAATGAAACAAAAAGGACACACTGGTCTTGGTTTTATCATTAAAGCATTTGATTTGAAATATCAGCTGAAAGCRGCTCATGTTCGGTGTCTGACTGCTGCTGTGGTTAATTTGAGGGTTTGGGATTACAGCATCGCTCGTTTCAACCAGCTGAACCCTGCTCCTCACCGGCTGATCAGGTCCCTCTCCTCCCAGGACTCTGAAGCCAAATCCTGACTCCTGGTTTCTTTTGATGAACACATCCAGGTCCTTGGTGTTCAGCGCTGCAAGGACGAAAGGGAAGTACAGTCATCTCAAAGTACCAAAAGCTAAAAGTAACTTCATTTCTTAGATAATAAACTTTTTTTTTTTGATTTTCAGAATCAGGGGGAAGAAATAAAAAACATAACTGTAAAAAAATTCACAAAGAAAATGGATTTTTAAAAATTTATCCTTYATTTATACAGAAAAATCTCATCGTCTCATTGTAACTTATGTGTTTATGTGTTGTCATTTATTTATGAATGAGCTTTCAGTTGATACACAGCAGCTGATAAAGCAGTACTTTTCACTCACGCCTGCTGTCCAGCATTGCTTTCGACTTGAGGTAGATCTCAGACGGGTCCGGTTTGGGTGAAGACGAGGACGGGGTGTCGGGGAGTGCCTCCTGCTGGCTGAGGGTCTCTGTGCTGTTTGTCATGTCCTGCATGTCCTGCTGCTGCTGGGCGGTGGACTGGTTGGATAGGGGGGACAGCTGCTGGGAAACAGGAGGAGCAGCCTGATGAAGACTGGGCTGGGACCCGGCGCTGGACACGGGAGCTGTGCACTACACCACAGGAACCAGAGCAGAGCATAAACAGCTGATGAATATGTGACCTCAGGTGAATGAAAACAAGACAAACATTCAGAAGATATGAAATATCTAAAAAAAGAAGTATTTCCTGTCAATATGTGCAAGTGGCAGGAAACAGATGCTAATACAGCTACTTCTTAAGGCTCGTCAACTTTTTTCTAAAAAGCTCAAAAATAATTTGAGACTTCCTTTTGTAATAGCCTAAAACCTGTGGTTCTTTGGCTTATGGACCAAACTTTATCCCTTAAAGACGAGCCACGACCCAAATCAGAGATCATTTTCAACTGAAAGATGTTGCAGATGCAGTTAGTAGAATAAAATATCATAGTATGCCACCACAAACAAATACATTTCATGAAAAACCAAAACAACACGCAACCCACTTCTTCCTTTCAGGGTCACGGGGGGTCACCGGTGCCCATATCCAGCAGTCACAGTGTGAGGGGCGGGCTACAGCCCCTCACACTGTGACCTCACACTACCCTGGACAGGTCCCAGGTAGGGTTGGGCAATATTGGCAAAAAAATTAATCACATATTTATATATACATATTTATATATACACATGCATACATATATATATATATATGTATATATTCTTTTTTGTTAAATGGGGCAGACGTTAAGATTTTTTTCATCTTTCTGATTTTGTGTTGTGTTGAAAATTGTTTTGTTTTTTTGATTAAATGTTTTGTTTTTAATTAAATGAACTAAAAAAAAGTCTCCAAACTTTTCACAGGTTGCAATAAGTTGTCTAAAACGTCACAGTGTGACGGGACCTTTAACAGTGCTTTCACACAAATATAAAATAAAAAAAGTCCAATTCCTGTGAGTCAGGGTTGGGCAACATTGGTCACGATTGTTTCAAGTAATCAAGATTATTTGTGGTATTAAGCCGATGACGATTAACATGATGATTAATCCCCTGGAGTCCCTTGACCCCGGAACATCCTAGAGGGAAAGATACAGATTCTCTTAATAATCTGTTCCAGTTTGTGTCAAAAGTACAAACATCAGTTTCTAAATTGTGTTGATAATCCTGGTCATTCTGCTCAGCAACATTAATTGTATTTATTGCCAAATGCCAAAAACAACCGTGGAAATTGTTTTTCCGATTAACTGCACACCATATGATTATTCCTAACCTTACTTGGAAGTAGTTTAAAGAAACCTCACAATACATATCTTTACTTGAGTACCCAATCCACTGAATATATGTGACCCATATTCCATCTACACAACCAATGCACTGCTAACAAAAGTCATAGAAACACTGTTCCTGCCTGAGCTGCCTGTCTTTATGCCTGTCTTTTGTCTTTATGGGTTGTTTGAAAGCTGCAGGAGCAGAAGCGAATCAAAGCTTTTGACGCAAAACAGGCGAGTACTAATGAGGTTGCTTCAGTTGCACTATTAATACACATTCTGTCTCAGTGATTGGTCTCTACAGTGGCATGGATGCAGAAAAAAAAATTTGATTGAATAACTGCACGATCGAAGGTCTTAAAAATAGCCCATTCACAGCAGAATAACGTCATGTTTCAGTAACCAAACAGTATGAGTAAGCCTGTTTGGACCCCAGCTCCTCTGTGTTTTCAAAGCAAAGCACAAAGGAGCAGTTCAGGGAGAAGCTGTTTAAAGATAGTGTATCATCTTACACACCCAAACACAGAGGGATGTTACGTTGCTGTTTGCAAATAGCCAGTGTATTTACCCACGCGCAGCTCCAGGAATAACAAGCTGCCCTAACGTGAGCTTCTTGAATAATGCAGCGAACTGCAGCATCACTGAGCACCAGCGACACAGGTTGCATGGTTTCAGACACTCAGGCAGCGAAGGAGGAAAAAACAAAAGTTGGACTTACAGGTTTCAGTGATTTCACAGGAGATGTCTGACCTGTGAAAAGAGAAGTGAAAGGGAAGGTTACATGCGTACGAAACAGGAACACGCCAACAGTTTTTCTTTACATCTGCCGTTTTTTAGAGTTGAACACAAACTTTTTAAAAATCTTTTTCAAACTTTATTTTTAGTCATTCAGTTGATTTCGAAAAGTATTTTTCTGAAATCGTGTCCAGCTTTTTTGCTCTCTGAGTCAGGGTGAGAACAGATTAAACAGATTAACCAGCAGGGGGCAGTAGGTCCAAGTATTTGCAGGCTGAGAAGAACAGGGCAGACATGAAGCTGTGGGAAAATATACACCTTTATAGATTAAAACAGAGCTGCCAGTCTGGAGCTAATCTAAATTATTATAGTTTAGTAGATTTGATTTAGTTCTTTGTTACTCATACTCTCCATCTGGATCTTTTGTTGTTTCTTTCGGTTTTGGGAATTTATGATGTAGCCTAAGTAGCTTTTGATCTTTATTATAAAACAGACTGGCAGCCATGACAAGAGCTGTTCAGATTAACAGTCTAAGYATCTATGAAGGAAAACATATCAAAGACCTAAGATGACCTTTGTCCAGTTTTACCCAAAGATCATCTTAGGTTAAGAAATGACAGCGGTATAGACCAAGTTGTGATTCAGGGTTTGTAAACTTCCCTGAGTTATAATTTTTGTGTTGTTAGCTGTGGCAGTCATCTTGAACTGTGTTGATTGCAGAGGTTATTTAGCTGTAAACGTATAGTCAATAATTACTTTCTGAGTAGTTAATGAGACCAAGTGAATTCACTCCAACAATTAATGTGAAGGTTTTAAGCAGGACTCTCGGGTTTTGATCTGAGCTTGGTGTGAGATTTCCAGTGGCTGACCACTGCTAACTCCTCAGTGAGGAGAAGTCCCTATTGGCTGTCTCTTTAAAGGGTGAGTGTGTGTTTTAGCGTGAGAAACGCAGAGGTGTTGGTGTGTGCACGTCGTGAAATACGTGTGTGTAATCAAAAGAAATGCGGCGCAATGTCTTGTACTCACAGTRTGTTTTGGGGACGGTGCGCAGCTMCCACTACCTTAAATCTAATCTTAATATGTGTTGAAGTGGCTGAGCTACGGCCATCTTTGTGTTTACTGAGGTCAGCTGGCTGAGGCAGCCAACGTTTGGGTTGAGTCTGAAAGTTAATCAGCAGCAGAAGTCAAGCAAAGGATTACTTCCTGAATGTTGTATTAAAATTGGTTCATTGGGTCACAAGATATTCTGAAAACAAAAAGATATTGTTGATTCTAATAGTTTATGGCAACGTTTTAAGAAAATAAACTTTGATGCTATCCTTAGCATTTCCTTTAGCATAGCAAACACTTTAGCATCCTTTCTGTAAGAAATAAAACGGTATTCATCGAAACTTGGGAGGATAACTCTCTCAGTAGTTGAATAATAATCTTCTAGTTGGAGGATCTGAGTTTCATCTCCAGATGTGTTATACTGTATGTCAAAGCTTCTGTGTTTGACAGTAAACATACCAGCAAATATAAATCAGAAAGCTTTGTGTGAATGAAAAAACTATTTGAGAAAACACTTTGGAAAATCTAGATATAGAGAAAAATCATGAATGAGTCAAAGAAACACTCTGGRTAYGTTTTTGAMAGAGGTGTAAAGTATTTAAGTACAAATATTTTATTTTAAGTGGGAATTTTGGTTATCTATACTTTACTTGAATAATTTGTTTTCAGTTGACTTTGTACCTCTACTCCTTACATTTTCATCTATAGTTTCTACTTCTTGCACTTTCAAAAAGTATACTTAGCAATAAATAAATTCAATAATACTGTGACTATTAAACTTATTAGGATCAAAATTTTGAGGACAAACTTGAAAAAACATCCCCAGTATCGAACAAAAACAACAAAAATGTTCCTGCCACACCATGACTGTTAAATCTTCAACCACTTAGCAATAAATCAATGAAATAACACTGTGACACATCAAACTGAGAACAAAAATCAGTCTGTATTTTGGTCCAGCTGTGGGTAATTGTTTGGATTTAATCATTGCATTTAACTTTCAAGTCCAATTCTGTATTTGTATCCTGGATCTCGATTCGCACCGAAGTGACTGAACACTAGGGCTGTGTATTGGCAAGAATTTGGTGATACGATACATATCATGACAGAGGGGTCACGATACGATATATCCTGATATATTGCGATACTATAAACAAGGCGATATATCGCGATTTTTTTTTGTCCAAAAATTCTATTAAATAAAAACCTCTTCCAGGGGAAAAAAAAAGAAAAACCAAAATTCATTG